TTCGTAATAATCTCATGTTATCTTGACATAAATATCTTTGGAACTCTAAATTCCTAAAAAGTTAATTGGTTAAAGAAATAAACTGAAGTGAATGATTTTAAAAGATCCTTCTGTGAATATGGAACGCAATATTGAAAAATTGCAAAAATGATTTTGTATGCATAAATCACATACACCAAGTTGCCTAAGTATCGTAATATCTCTAGAAATGAACAAAAATCCGTTAGGCATTGAGAAAGAAGTATAATTCATGAAGTATCGTGTCTTGGTGTCTAAACTAGATATATATTCCCGCAAATGATAGTATAATTAGCAAGACACATTAGACTCTAATGTGTCTTGCTAATTATACTATCATTTGCGGGAAAATATATAATGTGTCTTGCTAATTAAACTATTTGCGGCAAAATATATATAGTTTAGACAATAACTCATATAGCTTAAGATACCATTGCGTACTTGATTTCTTTAATCCATACACTGATTTTTTTAGACTATATATCTTGCCTTGCATATGACTTAGGTCTCTCAAACCTGAAACTAAGTCCATATAGATATCTTCCTCTAAGTCCCCGTGCAAGAATGCATTATATTGTTTACATATATTTGATGTAAGTGCCAATGCTTGCTTGATTATTCTAGTGGCTAACAACAAATTCACAAAACTCATTTTAGTATCTGCAGAAAGGTGTCAACATAATCAATGTCATGGGAAGTGAAGAGGGTGTTGTAGTTGGGGTTGATGTGTGATAGAAACCCGCAGTTTCCTAGTTTTGTTTATTCAGATTCCTTTTGTCGGTTTATTGTTCTTTGAGAATTATTGGGGCATATGGGTTGTTATTTAATAATTCGGGTAGCGATAGGGAATTTCTATTTTTATATAAACTACTTGTACGTGGAAATTAACCACTAAACAAGAATTAAACCCCATACCTACTACTCTCAATTCCCTCTTCCTTCCTCTCTCTCGGCAGACCAACTTCTTCCCCTCTTTTCCCCTCTCTTCCTCTGCAGCGACAACAACTTCTTTTCCCCTCCCCTCCCCTTCAATTCCCAATTTCCCTATCCCAACCCATTTCTCCAATCAACCCTAATCCTCACCTTGGTGATTAGTTTATTGCCCAAATCCCTAAAACCCGAAAGAACCTAATTTTAAGGTTTGGGTAAATTGCAAGGTTGTTCACTGAAAGTGCTAAAATATTTACGTTTGGTGACTGAAAGAATTTTATTCCATTCGTGGTCACTGAAAGTGGTTAACATTTCACGATTGGTCACTTTCCGTTAGTTTCCATTAACACCGTTAGTGGTTTGCTGACGTAGCAACCAAAAATGCCGATTCATCTAATTTTGACCTGCTATGTCATAAAACTTGACTTGCCACATCATAATACCCAACACACTGTCAGAGCATAACTCAACCCAATTTAACCCGTGACCTGACCACAAAAAATTGAAGGAACCCAAATCTCTCCACATCCCTTGATCTCCCCCATCTCTTCTCAACCTTTCCCCTCTTCTTCTTCTTCCTCTGTTTGCGCCACGCCTCCTCCTCATCGTCGCCTGCCGCCCTCCGTCGCCCAAGCATCCTTCCAGGAAATCTTCCTCGTCGTCGCTAGACCTCCCTCCGGCGCTGCTCATTATCTTCTCAAGACGAGACCCCCAAGACAAGGAGAAATCGTCATCCGTCTATCCCCGAAAGTATTGTTGTTATCGTCTTCATCTCTCCATCATCGATAACTTCACCTTCGCACTCCAATCCGGCACCACGCTGGTGCCGATTGGACCTTCAAGAATATCTCGCCGCCTTCTCTGGTCAAGCTACACCTGGAAGAATCGCCTCTTTGCCCCGTCGATTTCAGACTCGCCGAGCGAAACTAACTATAGAGACAGTCGGGGCCCAAATCGAAGGGTGGTGGCCAACCTCTGTCTTCTCCGGCGAAAAATCAGGATGCCGGATTCCATCTTTGATCTGTTCGTTGACGATCTGTGTTCCCGAATAGAAGCAGCAACGCAGCGGCATTTGGGAGTGCCTCGTTTTGGGGTTTCATCGTGTTTTGGGAGTACATGTGTTTGAGAGTAAATATGAGAGGAGGCAAGGGAGATTGGCTTTGAGGAAGAGCTGAACACTAGAAGCATCGACAATCAAAGCAGGATGCTCCCCTCGGCTGAGATTTGGAATCGCAAGATTGAAGCTCCTTCTTCCCTTTGCGATGGTTGATGGCGACGACGGGGATTAGAGGTCGATGGCGGCCAAGAAGAAGGGACTAAGAGGGTGGGTCAGAATGGGCTTTTCATTTGGGCCAATCGAGTTTTACGTCGGGCGGGTCAATAAGGAGGGTTGGGTCATGGGTTAGGTTGGGTAATCTGACGTGGCGGGTAAAACTGACTTGGCATGTCCGGTTTTGTGATATGGCAGGTCAAAATTGGATGAATCAGCATTTCTAGTTGCCACGTCAGCAAACCACTAATGGTGTTAATGAAAACTCACGGAGAGTGACCAATCATGAAACGTTAACCACTTTTAGTGACTATGAATGGAATAAAATTGTTTTAGTGACCAAATATGAATATTTTAGCACTTCCAGTGACCAACTGATAGACCGTCATTTACACATGTTTTTACCCCCGTTCTTACACCGTTTGAGGTGTTGATTCTCGTGTTTTAGGCCGATTTCACGCTAGGTTGTGCTTGTTTGTGATATTTCAGGTCCTAGTACGTGAATGAAGGCTTAGGAGCGAGTCTGGGGTCGATTGGACGAAGAACGGGCGAATGGCGAGGGTTTTGGGGAGCTGCACGGGCAGACCAGGGAGGCTGCACGGCCGTGCACGTGAGCAATCTGGCCGTGCGCTTTACGCCGAGGCCACGCACGGGCAGGCCCTAAAGATCGCACGGCCGTGCACCCTGGCCGTGCGAGAAGCCTGAGGCCGAACTAAATGACACGCTGCGTTTTGAGTTGCACGGCCAGAATGGTGATATGCACGGCCGTGCACCCTGGCCGTGCGAGTCGGGAAAGCCTGGTTTTAGAGCCTATTCCGAGCCAAAAGTGAGAGAATCGTGTTTTCAGAGCAAAAACAGAGCCCTAGAGAGAGAAAGTACGAAGAACACATCCTAGAAGCTGTCTTAGAGCTGGATTTCATCAATCGAGCTTGGAGATCGTCATAGGAGTGAAAATCATCGTCCCGGAGCAGATTATCCTCATCGTTATGAGTATGACTAATCCGATTCTTGTTTTCTCTTCTCTCTCTATGGAGTAGAACCCTTCTCTCACTTGGGTATGAAGAACCCTAGTTCCTTGTGTTAGGGATTTGATTGTAATGACTTGGGATGATATTACTGTTTGATTTTAATCGAATGACGCATGTTTAATGAATTGATTTGAGTCTGATCAGCTTTTCTCAATTTCTGCTGCAACCTGAGATAGATAGAATCTGATTAGGTTGTTAGAGCCTCTTCATTCGATAGTAGGAGATTGGCTATACGAGAGTTAGCCAGTTTACTGCTTTGTACTGGTGTTCTTGGCGCCAGTAGTGGAGTTCTGTGTTCATAGCGTCAGCTTTCTATCCCGGTGAAGACTAGTCGTCTGCCGGGTAGTTAGACTGAGAGGGCTTGGTCAGCTTAAGAGATTTCAAGCTACTGTCGGATCTTCCGCAGTCTAATCAACAGTAAATCAACCCAGGGAATTGCAATTGAACCTAACTAAGGGGCTAGGGGGACTCAATCCCGAGTGACTCTTGCCTGCTTTAGAAAACCGAACAATTTACTGCTTTCTTGTTGCTTTTACTTTTCACAACAATCACTCGAACTAGTTTGCTAGATAATAGAGAATCACGGAGTAAGCAGTAGATCTAGACCCCGAGTTGATAATTAAACTTGTCTGTTACTGCATTCTCGGACTGCGATTACACTTGGTCGCAGTTTGGTGTTGTATTTTGGCGTGTCACCAACCTTGCAATTTACCCTTTTAGGTTTCTATCAATGTGTACTTATCGCGACCCTCGAGTTAGGCCGACAATGAGGCAGGTAGTGAATGTGTCAAGATAGAAATTGGCGGTGTTTGATCTTACGTGTCTGATCATGGTTTTCGAGGTGCTCGGCACCTGACTTTTGAGCATGTTTTTCAGTCATTCCCATCATATGTTTCTTCGCTTATCTCAGACGTTATAGTTGAAAGAAAGAAGATGACACGAATTAGTTAATGAGTGATGATGAATAGTAAAATTTTACGAAAAGTGCATTTTGATGTCTTTCATGATCAAACCCAGTCTCATTTGATTGAGGCTATGCATATTATCCAGCTGTATAATCTCACCTTTGCACAGAAAATTCTTTTGTTTAGTTGTAGGGTAGCATCTTTCAATAGTTTTGAGGATCCAATAGCAACTTACAGGGAAAAACCAAGTTAGTTCTCATTTGGCCTGTTCTCATTTGAATTAAACAAATGAGTTAATTCTCTAAACATCAGTGGGGATTGCTTAGTTGGAGAGCTTCAGATTTTAACGCCGCGTGTTCGAGCCACGCTCACCACATCTTGGATAATATCACAAATCGATAAATACCACATTTGGTTACTAAGATTACTAAATCGTGTCATGGAAAAATTTAATATCAATTTTGGTCACTCGAATTACCGAAACAGGTCACATTTAGTCACTCTCCCGTTAGCCCCCGTCTAACTCCGGTCACTCGAATAGAAAAATTTAATATCAATTTTGGTCACTCGAATTACCGAAACAGATCACATTTAGTCACTCTCCCGTTAGCCTCCGTCTAACTCCGGTCACTCGAATTACTGAAACATGTCATATTTAATCACTCTAGTTTCCGTCCAACTCCATTAATGAAGTTGGACGGAAACTAACGGGAGAGTGACTAGATGTGACTTATTTTAGTAATTTGAGTGACCAAAATTTATATTAATTTTTTTTAGTCATTTAGTAATTCGAGTGACCAAAATTTATATTAAATTTTTTTAGTGACTAAATATGACACAATTTAGTAATTTCAGTGACTAAATGTAGAACTATTTACAGAGAGGAAGTTGAAAATGGGAAAGAAACTTGTATACACCACCACCAGGGCAGAACATATATCTGGTATACACAAAATACATCATCATAAAATCAAACCTTGGTTTTGATTCTTCTCCTAAACTCTACTGTAAGCAACACAATATAGACTCATCTTCCCGCACTCTCACCAAATCTATGAACCAGGAGCGACTGGAGAAAGGAGGCCACACACTGGTTACCAACCGCCAACAGCAAGCAGGCAGCTAAGAAATGGCACTTATCAATGATTAAAAATAGATAAATCCACTCTTCTGCAAAGGCAGTCATTTTTGCCATCTGCACCATAATGTACTGAAGCTGAGAGGAAAAGGAAGAAAAGATGTAAGAAAAATAATCTACTGTACAAAGAGGAGGGGGGTACTGAGGGAGCTGCTTCTAACTAGGTCTTCCAACAATCAAGTTAGCCTTTCTTCTTAAACCTTCGTGAATGGTTGCCTCTGATTTCGACATTTTATCTCACAGGAACACCTCCCTTTCCGAGCTTCGCCTGCCGTCTTCTAGCAAACTCTTGTATTTGACGATCATGATCTTTCAGCATCTGCTCCACATTGTTCGATGGTACAAGTAATGGACCAGATACGTATATCTTGTTCCCCTTGGCCCCCCGAATATGCTGAAATAAAAGGAAGTGTGAGAATTATAGGTTGCAGAGCTTCAAGAGAAGTAAACTTGATATTGAGAGAAAAAAATGAACTATTTAGTGGCATACCAGGCCAGGGTCTTGACTACCAGGTTGCTGCCCACTTCCAGACTGAGAAAAAGAAACGGTTCCCCTTTGGGATGGAAAACTTTGGTCTTCCGTTATCGGGCAGTCTGGCCGGTTTAGTGAGCCATGAGCCCTACTTCCTCCTCCTTGCTTTACTAAATCAGGCTGCGAAGTACTGGGTTTTCCCAGGCGGTCTTCAGGCAATGAAGCCCTGGAAGCTACTAGACCAGATATTGTTGACAGGTTGGTGCTTCTTGCAGATGCCCCATGAGTATTATTGTCATGATCTCTACCAGACTTTGTCCAGCCACCTCCATGGACCAACGGCCCAGAATGTGAGACTTTTGGACGTTGGCTTTCCATGTAACTCCGTCTTCCTTCATTTCCAGGTTGAATTTGCTTAGAGGGATGGACAAGGAGACCAGAGAAATTTTTGTCCTTGCTCGAGTGGGACATTTCGCCTTTTGAATAGGAATGACGGCTGATCTGCAATTCAGAAGAAAAAGATAGAAAGGTTCATGGCAGCTACAAACTTCAAAGAGTTATTTGTCCAAGAAGGAAACTCCTCTAAAAGAGACACCATGAGACGAACAAGAATTCATGACCAGAACCGAAGTCACTTATAACAAACCCACATAATTGTTCAGTTGAAACAGAAGTATATTGAAATATGCACCGGAGGAGTCCCAATTTTTATCACGTAGGGAAAACAGGAAAAAGCCAAACCAGGTATTACCTGTGTTGAGGATACATCTGCATTGCCAGTCGGTCCCTTGTTAAGCATTGGCACATTTGGTCCATTCCCCTTAATGGCAGCTTGTCTTTGTCTACAAAAAGTAAGTACTATTTTACGAAACATGCAGCCATAAATGTAACTTAATTCATCAAAGAGAGCGTCAAGAGAGTTGTGCGTTCACTTATAAGAGAATTTAGCCCCAGGAGTTAAAAAATCACTTTCATATCTTCTTTCTTTAGCAGCCCTTTCCTAAATAAGATACATTGAGCATTTTCTTTCTTTGAAATTTAAGAAAAGATGAAATCGAATAAAGAAGTCTACCTTCTAGCTTCTTCGTCCCGCTTTTTAGCATCAATTTCTTTGCTGGGAGGGTACTTGGGTAAACTCGAAGGATCACAAGCAAATGGGCTCGTCGCAAAATACTGAGACCACATCAAACAACTTATGGTCAAGTACTGCATGAAACAGGTTTACCCACAAGATGTAGATAAAATAAACAAGAAAGAGTAAAGCTTTTACTAGAAATGAAAGGAGATAAAAGAAACAAGAAAGAGTAAAGCTTTTACTAGACAGCGACCATAAATCAGATAAGGAACCTTAACATATTGCTGTTATTACTTCCCTACTTAACAATTTAAGTATAACAAGAAACGCCATACCTCACTCTCCAGGACTAAAGCGGTATTCCCTCTCTGAACGGGATCAACGGACAGTAAGGTCTCTAAAAGTTCAAGAGCAGAAGCAGGAAATTCCTTGAATGTTTCTCCAACACATCGTTTGTATGGCCGTTGGGGCTTTATTACTGAAGAATGAGGTAGTTTTGATTTCTTCCAATAATCATCAGATGGTGAGCCACATAACTTGAAGATTTTATGCAGTTGCTCAACCTATAATATCACATGGTAAAAAAACTTCCGTAAAAAAGCAGATTTTTACAGTCGAAATACTGTTTTATTACACAACAGTATCAGATGGACATCGCAATCAGTTTCCTGAAAGTCTCACCTCTGTCCTTCCAGGTAAGATAGGTTTTCCAGAATATAATTCACCAAGTATGCACCCAGTGCTCCATAAATCCACAGAAACTCCATAGTTACACGCCCCCAGTAAAAGTTCTGGGGCTCTATACCATAGAGTAACAACACGACTGGTCAATGCAGCACTACTCTTAGGGTCAAAGAAACTCGCCAAGCCAAAGTCAGCAATTTTCAGGATGCCGCTGTCATCTATCAGAAGATTCGAACCCTTGATGTCACGATGCAGAACACCGCGGTTATGGCAGTGATCAAGGCCACTTAAAAGTTGCTTCATGTAACACTTTATCTGATAGAGAGAAAAGGTAAGAAGCCAGCGGGGCATTACTGAGGCAATAAGCAACAAATTAGAGCAGCATAGAACCATCTCACAAATTAATTGGGAAGATTACCTGCGGTTCAGTGAACTTGAGACCTGGTATTGAAGCAATTCCTGTGAGGTCGTGTTCCATGTACTCAAAAATAAGGTACAAAGTTGAAGAAGTTGGTGATGTTATCAGGCCTTCTAGCTTTATAACATTAGGATGATCCAGCGTTCGCAAGATAAGTATCTCACGCGCCATAAATTTGACACTATCTGGATCACTATTATCAAACCGGACTTTCTTAAGAGCAACAATCTTATCATGAGTCACATCGCGTGCCTTGTAGACACTGCTATAAGTTCCTTGTCCAATCTGCAAGAGAAAATCACTAGTTAAGTTGAGTTCACCAACTGTACCACTCATCAAGATTTGCATCAAGTGTTCATGGTTGCGCCTCGTAATTATAAATTCCAAACATGATCCATCAGAAGATTGAAAAGAAATTGACTTACTGGGGCATGTGTAAACGTTATGTTAGACATATGTCATCAGTTTCACCATACAGTAAAATTTAAAAGAAACACTCAGCCCAGCTGTTCATTGATAAACTAAAGCATATATAAAGATGAACTGCCTGAAATTTTCACAAGAACTCCCTTTGCCTGAAGATCAATACATCAATGAATTCCAGCATTGGATCATGAAACAGCATCAAGGCAAAGAACTCCCAAATTCAAGAATGTATGAAAGAGATCATAGACCAAAATTAAAAAGGTCAATAGCAAAGTTGGCATCTAGAACATGACGCAAAGATGAACAACGATTAGCAATTAAATATAAAGTGACTGGGATAAGAGAAACTTACTCTATCCAACTTCTCGAATGAATTCGCCTTCCGGGGAACCCAACCTTTGATTGATTCGCCGGCAACTGAGACAAGCCAGGCAGGCCATCCAGCTGCAACCTGCTCAGCCTCCAAATTCTTTGGCACCCTCCCCCAAGCGGGATCACTAAAATCCGTAATCTCAGACCTTCTCTCACTCTTGGAATAAGCTGTACCAACAGCAGCAGAAACCTCACGTTTCTCCACCATTTTCTTCTCGATTCGATAATCTTTCGACCTTAACTCCACCATCTGATCACTATGGTACCTACTGGAACCGTGATTCTTCTTCTCAATCAACATGACCTTAACCTCACCAGTGTCTGATATGCTCCTTGATCGACTCCCTTCATCCCTTCCTCCCGATGTATTCACATGGGCAACACGCCTATCGAAGGACACTCCCCGACGTGATGACAGCCTCTCCCTAGGGCTACCTTCCTTTGAAGCAATACACCCCATTTTTCTTCCCACACTAGATGTCAGCTTCAGAAATTAGCTTTACCAAAATTGCCCAGACCAATGGTCTTCTCTCGCACTCCCTCTTCCTCAGAAATGAAATTCAGCGGTAGAAATCGACATGATCTTTCTTCTTAACCAACAACAACAGCTGATCACAAACAATTTCCAGAGAATTACCCAGGTGATTGAACCAATTCAAAAGTTGAAGAAACTGACAACAAAGTAGGAGAATTCAACAACAACAAAAAGTGAGCAATCACACACCTTCAAACTTCCCCAACCAAACCTTCCAAGGAAAAACTGAAAAAGGCGCAAACTTTAAGCATCCAAGATCAAGGAATCGAACAAGAGAACCAAACCCAGTACGGTATATAACCCTACAGACTGAATTTAGAACGATTTAAGGAAAAAGAGGAAGGATCCCGTTACCAGAAAACTGAGAAAGGAAAAGAAGGCGAGGTGAGGGTGGGTAAAAGGCGAGAAACAATTGATGATGAGATAGAGGGAGTATCGTTGTTGGTCCAACTCCGCAATCAATCTCGTAGCTGCGGTTGAGCTGCCTTATTTGTTTTTGTATAGGGATTTCTGTTTCGGATTTAGATGAGGGGAAGAAATTGGAATGGTTTGCTGCCCAACAGTTTCAACGCGGAAACCAGTAGACACTAGACAGTGATGCCACGTATGAAAACAACAACGTGGACGCGGGTTATGTCATATGTGAAAAGAGTTATAATGTGATTAGAACGATGGACAAAACGCAATTATGCGGCCGTCGTGGTTAATTAATACAAGGAGACGGCAAATATCCCTCTACTGATTACCTAGTCAAATCGTAGAATCCAAGTCTGTATTATTTTACTCTCTTGTTATTATAAATAAATATATATTTATTATTTATATTATTATCTTGTGAACAACCAAGGATGGTTTCTTCTTCTTCTTTCCTGTGGGATTTTGTTGTGTGTATTTTTGCCCCTGGTTTTCTCTCCCGTGGTTGATTGGTTTCCCAAAATTTTGGGATGGCGACGAGGGTGGATATATTTTCTTTTTCTGCATCGTTTTGCCTTGTTCGTTTTGTGTCGTTTTACTCTTGCGGGAAGTTCAACGTTGATCTCTAATGAATGTGACTCCATCTTTGTTCCATTTTGTTTGTCTACACTGAAATGTGAGGGTTCACTCTTTACCCAAAAGAAGAAGCGAACATTCAATCTAACCGGTCAAACTAGCTTGGGAGTAGTTAATAGTTATCGTACCTTTTTGTTCTAGCGGTCAAACTCAAACAGGCCCGGCCCATACCCTGTGCTGGTCTGACCCACAACACAGGGCCTCATCTTTTGGGGGGCCTCATAATCCATAAGCCCAGCGGAATTCGACCTCATAATCCGAGCCTGTTGGGCTGGCATTGCTCCAAATTGGGCCTCAAAGTCCATAAAAGGCGCAGCTGGCAGATCAGATAAAAGGAAACGCCAAAGGATGACAGCCGCCGCAATCGAACTATGGACCTCATTGTCCATGAAAAGGGCACTTAACCACTGCGCTGGGAATTACTTGATGATTAAAATTAATAGTTAGAATATTTAACGTCTATCTTCATCAGTTTCCCCAAAATTTCTTAACTTTCCAAAATCATATAACACCTAAATATTAATTATTCACACCCAATTATAATTAACTCTTAATAAATGTCTATCCCTACTATCCCGGCCCCTAATGAACTTTTCTTTAAGTTCTAACCTTTTTTTCCTTTTCTTTAACAGGGAACTTAATATTGATTGGAAATTTGGAATCATTAATTTTTAGTTATAATTTTTAATTATGTCAACCCAAAAATTTGAAAAAGGTAGTTCTAAGCATATAAGAAAACATAGAATTGAGGAGCCTGAATATTAGTAGTCGATCTTGATGGCAATTCGAAAAATAGAAGTGAAGCTAAATCTTTTGCACAAAATGAACTTGGTGATTTTGAGTTTATTGTTTCATTAGTTATTAGGTATGAAATATTGCACTCAACAAATTGGTTAGTAAATATTTACAATCCAAAGATACACTTATTGATGATATTTTAGAAATAGATGGATTGATTTCGTTTTTCAAAATTTACAGAGAAGATGGAAGGGCTAATAGAGGATTTTATTTCAAATAATGCTAGATGATTGTTACTTTATGAACATTAATAGATAATATTATTACTTTTGTAATCATTTTCTAAACTTAAGTAATTATTATTTTTAATAGATTTATAAGATAAAATTTTGGGGCCACATTTTAAATTGTCGAACAGGGCCTCCGAATATTACGGGACGGCCCTGAACTCAAAGGCGTAATCCGTTTATGCACCCCACTTGTGTTTTATATTTGGGTACTCCCTTAATTTGAATCAATCCACTACTAGGAACTAATTGACAATACTTTTTTGAGAGTATATATATATATGGATGGTTGTATCGTACATAAAGTAAAAGTTGATGTATGTTGTACACTAGATAATCTCCACTTGATAGCCGAGAAAACTAAATTAAATTATTCTACTCCTATAGAGGTTCACCATGAACTTCAACAATGTACAACTGCATACTGCTACCCTTATAAGAATTACGAGAGACACTTGGTTTATAGTGGTTCTTCCTCGCGTCAGTGAGGCTTACGTCCACTGTAGAAGGTTTTTGTGTTTTATTGCTTATGCTTGGCCGAAGGCCATACATGGGTTTATATGCCCTAATACACCAAGATCACTGACTCGTCCCGAATACCACAATAAATTACCGACTCGGGCAGTACATGATAAGTATGTTTAAATATCGACTCGGGCCGGTCCGTGTACCCCTACTTCAGTCATTCGAATCATTATCTAGCAACAAGGTTTTGGTTGAAAAGTTTGCTAATTAAAATAAAGCAAAACAAAAGCGAATGATTTTGAAAGCTCTTTTGTGAGAAGGATCACTCGGGTGTCGCTTCCCCCTAACTACAACCATGGTATGTGAACCGAAATGATTGCTATGGGCAAGGTGATCGCGAACCGCTAGGTGATACAAATATGGTCGTAGACCACACTCATGATTGCTAAACCGAGGAATACAAATTAAGTTGTTACTCGGCCCTCTCGGTTTAGGCAATCGATGGTTGACTTACTCCCTCATTCAACCCGATGGTTGGACGGCTTAATCGCGCTTAACCAAATTCTTTAATCCAATATTGAGGTTTGCCCTAAATTAACCTAGTTATGAGACTTAAAAAGCCCTAGGAATACCAACTCAATTGAGTCTCCCTTGGAAGGGGGGTTTTCCTCTCTAATCTAGGTTAAGTGGCTAATTAGATTGCTAAGCACCAACATGCACAACCCTTAGATTGCTAAGCACAAACATGCACAACCCTTAGATTGCTAAGCACACATATGTACAATCCTTAGGTTGCTAAGCACAAACATGCACAATCAACATGAATAATACCTCAATCATTGAATTAAAACAACACCTATAAACAATCATTCAATTCACATAACAGAAAACTACATGGTAGCTAGCTAGGGTTTCACAACACCCAAGTGAAAAAGAAATCTAATCCATGCTAGAAATGGGAGAAACACAAGGGGAAGAGGTAGAAACCATCATGAAGGAGGCTTCCAATCTTCTTAGCACTTGTGCTGAACTTCTCTTGGGGAGAATCTTCCCAAATCCACTCTTGGAACAAACCCCTAGCCTCCTTCTCCTTTGGTTCGTTTTTCTCTCTCTAAAATCTGAAGAAGGCTTTCTCACTCAAATGGGCTCTCCAACCTCTCACTAGAATCCTCTTTATTCTGGAAAAAAAAAATGTAAACCTAACCTAAGATGAAGCTCTCCTTTCTCCTTTAACTCCCCTCTCCTTTTATACCCAAATCAGGCTCAGTTCAAGGTCTTAGGGCTAAGTTCAAGGACGCGCTGATCAGTTCACGATCTTAGTTCAAGTATGCGTTGAGCATTTCACGGTCTTAGACCTCAGTTCACGGCCGTGAACATTGAAACACGTCCGTGAACTCAAGATGGGCATCGAAACGCACCGCTTTGCTTGCACGGGTTCACGAGCAACAGCTCCAGTTCACAGTCTTAGTGACCGTGAACTCTCCTAGCGTCAGTAACTTCTGGAAATGCTCTGGACGCCTCGATGTTCACGGGCAACAGCTCTTCTTTGCGGTCATACAAGACCGTGAACATCCAAGGAAAGCCGTGAACTGCCTTATTTTCACCTCTTCTCCCGGTTTTCGCTCATTTTCGTCCAACTTTCGACTCCGGAGCTGGTTTTACCTGTTAAATCCTGAAACATGCTAAAATACGAGAAACTTAGAGTAAAACCACCCTTTTAGTAACGAAATTACCACAAACGCCTAAGGAAAACGGGGGTAAAACATGTACAATTACGCCTGAATCCTTCCCCACACTTAGACGTTTGCTTGTCCCCAAGCAAACCATTTCCGACAAGGTAATATTTCAACCTACACAAATACTTTGGGGACAACTCAAAGGGCACAAAGTGGGAATTCTCAATGTCTATTGGCAGTTAACACATGGATCGTTGCAAGCAATACCGACATCAACCACAAACGACCTTCGAGGCCACCAAAAATGGGCAAACTAAAAGTTCTCACCTTGTTCATGGATCAATGCAAGTCTCAACAAGACCACTTATCAACCACAACTAACCATGCATGGAATTCAAGTCCAAGGAACAAATGGGAAGGCGACCAAGGTCCTCGCCGAGGTATGATATGACATGCAAAGCAAGAATGAATCACTCACTCTCAAGACCAGTGGGGTTGGGACCTTTTTGGTGCAAAAAGATGTGCACAATCATTAACACTCAGCCCTATCATCTCAACACCACGGCGACAACCTCTAAATGCTAGAGTTCACGGAATGGTTGTCATCACTAGCTTGTCCGGAGGTCTTAGACATGGGTTCAGATGACTGGCAATTGTCTTGGGCATGGGGAAAAGGCTTTTTGAGTGGTGCAAAACATAACATGAGGTTCTACCTCTTCAACCTGAACCTGAAGATTCTATGGTTTCGACTAGAACCTTCTCTACAAGCAATGGCCACTAGCATCGGCCAAAAACCTTACTTCTCCCTTCCAAACTATCACCCATCACGAACTACCTTTAAGCACACTTCCTCGGTCTACTCTTGCTATCATATTTCGATATGGTAGTGAAGGAGTTCCAAAACAATGTGTGGGTCTCATTGGATTTAGTGCCAAGAAACCCCTCCTAGAGCATACAGTTTGGTTTCCCGTGGCATTCTCTACTTTATTTACCTCGTTTTATTACCTCTTTTCTGTTTTTCTTTTCTTTTCTTTTCGAGGGGGGTACTAGAGAGTAAAAAGTTTTCTACCTATATACATTTAGCGACTAATGCTCTCTTTTCAAGAACTCGCTCCAACACTACACTTCATTTTTCAAATTTGGGCATACATTAAGGCTCCAAGTATAAATCACACTCACAAAAGCATAATAGTAAACTACCCATCTACACTTAAGCTCGACATTGCCCTCAATGGCGTAAGATAGGGGTAGAATGATGTTACCGCTTGGGCTTGGTGAGTGAAAATTGGAACGTAATTGGGCCGGAGATGAAAAGGAGAGAGCTTCACATGGAAACAAACACAAAAACACGAACACATTCTCGCACAAGGCAAGGGTATTTCACCATAATATTGCTTAGCATAAAAAAAACACAAACCTACGTTGGGTTGCCTCCCAACAAACGCTACTTTTACGTCATA